CCCCAAAAAAATCATGTACCAGGAGACCATATCATGTTATGAGAAAATGAAATTATATTTAGTTAAAGTCAATAGAACATTTTAAAACAGCATTAAAAAATGACTCCAGTTACGAATGAAAAAATAATGGCGTCGCATCTGGTTACTCGCTGGGCTGCTAACTGCAAGGTCAGCAGCTGGAAGCCACCAGATGCACCACTGGAGAAAGAGGGGGCTTTCTACTCCCCCGAGAGTCTCGGTCTCGGAACTCACCGGGCCAGTTCCATCCCGACCTAAAGGGTCACTACGAGTGGGCATCAACTTGGTGGCAGCCACATTTACTCGTATACATGCACAGCACGAGGATAACCTCACGGAAATGTCACCTTAACCTCACGGAAATGTTACCAAGGGCTACTTCTGAGCAATGATGGGAGTTTCCTCTCTGTAGTTCCTATTCTATAATGCCCTACCCAAACTCAACCCACTGTGGCCAACTAGACTCCAACTCAAACCACCACACAGGACAGAGAGGAACTGCTCCCATAGGGCTTCAGGGCTGTGAATCTTCATGGGAACAGGCTGCTACAGCATTCTCCTGCAGAGGGACTGTCCTTTGGTTGGCAGCTGAGCGATTTAGCCATGGCTTCTCATTTTTATCAATGGAGCCAATGAAACCAAAAAAAATCACTGTCATTTAGGGAAAGAGGGCTAAGGAGAAAAAAAAGACAAATGCCTTAATATAAATTCTTGAGTTCTGCTGGCCAAAGTGATAATGAACTTGGGGACATGGCACAGGAATATCATAACCATCTCCCTTGTCCCAGTTCCTAGAGCTGCTGCCGGATAGTAATGCTCCTTAGAACCCTGAGTGGATGTTTCATTCTAAATCAGCACCCTTAAGTCTGTATCTTATGAAAATTCATACCAAACCATGGCTTTAATGTCTGCCGTGCCCACTCAAGCAAACAGACTGGGCAGATGCCCCCACTCACTTAAAATATATTTTAAGGGACAAAATAGTAACCCCCTGGAATTTGTAGCTTTTCTGAAGTGGGCATGCCATATATGTGACATCGTTTTACGTCTAAAGGTCTTCGTGGGCTCTGGTTCCAGCTCTGGCCTTAGTGGACAATCGGTTGCTCCTCTCTGCTCCTCCACTTCTCCCGTGTAAAATAAGAACGTCAAACTGATACTTCGGCATCTGTCCAGCTCTAATGCGCTGATTCTCTGCAGCTATCCTCACAGGACCCAAAGGTGCAGCACGTTGGGGGATATCACGCCAGGACGTAGTTCTTCTAGCCTCTCATTCCATTTGCTGGAAATAATGGATGAGCCTAGTTTGAAAATCGTTTGCCACTTGATACCGTCTCTTAAGCTCCTCAACTAGCATCCCAAATGGCTGTGATTTCCCCCAAGACTGTGGCCAGCACACACCCTTCAAACCTGAAGCTGAGCCCACCCCAGGGTTCGTCTTGCTGCCAACCGGAATGAGCAACAGCATTCCTGTAGGTCACTCTCCCCAAAGGAACCGCAGGAGGTGAAAGGCAACATTTGCCCCAAACCAAAGTTCAGGAGGGAAAGGGGGCAAATGGAAATGGGAAACGGAAGAATTGGTGGGAAGCACGCTGGTGTGTTGACGGGATTGCAGCAGTGCCGCGAAACACAATGTGGGTCCGTTGTGCAACAGATGAGTCATTTGCTCGGTCCATTCCACCCAAATGGTAATTGTTTTAGAGGCGTGGTTTTAAGTTATTATAGAATAGTTGGTGACGTTGAAATAGTGAGGACATCTCTCTCTTAGAAAGGATCATTCTGCTGAAAACAGTGGCAGGCCACTGTTTCTGTTTCCTTTAACCCAGGAAATACTGCCTCTCACATCCTGGGTCTTCACTGTTCTGCACTGAGCTCAAGGAAAGCCACGGAAACATCGTGAGCGTTCCTTCGTTTTCATTTTTTATCTGGAAAATGGAGGGTGCGCCTCCTGCACCAGGGGCTCTTCGTGCAAGTAGGCGGGCTAGAAGGAAGAATGACAGGTTCTGGGTATTATTGTCCATGTACAAAGCAGACGGAGCTCAAAAGGTTCATAGAAAAATCCCATTGTCTTGTAACTCCGTGTTGCCACAAACTTCAGGAAGCCCCTCGTATTTCTTTCTTTCTTTGTGTTTTCAGGGACACGACAGATAGCCGGGCCACTGCCTCGGAGCTTGTCTTGTTTATGCCCAGACCCACAAGAGGTGGAAACGGGACTTTGTAAAACGATCCGACTTTGCTTTGCTCTGTGTAGTTGAAGTCCAAGCGAACTATGAGAGCGAGCCAAAGCTGGGAAGCGAGGGGAAGCTGGCACCCACAATGCCATCTTTCTAAGGCATTAAAGGACCCTCTAAAAAGCTATGGTGCTTCTTGCATCACTTCTACAGGCAAACGGCACAGCCGGTCTAGGAAGTGTCCTCGTGTCCTGGCGACAGACCTCGGGTGCGGAGCTGGGCGCTGGCAGAGGACAGGCCACACGGCTGTCAGGACTGGAGCTCGGCCGAAACGCTTCTCCGAGCGTGTTGTCCCAGCAGAGATTGCTCTTGTCTTTGCCTTCCCACTACTTGCTTGTAGATTCTGGGCATTCAAGCCAGGAGAACACAAACTGGTAGATAATGTTAGCTTTTAAAAACGACTTATGAATGTTATGCTTCAGAATGTTTTCAGTATGCAAGTGGAGTTTTTCATTTGCTAATTCCAGAAGCATAGGCTCCTATCAAGTTCAGCAGTTCGAAACCACCAGCTACTCATGGGAGAAAAGATGAGGCTTTCTACTCGGTAGAGTTAGAGCCTTGGAAACCCACAGAGACAATTCCACCCTCTCCTATAGGTCAGAACCGGCTTAATAGCAGTGGGTTGGGGTTTTGAGTTTATGCTCCTAACAAAAAGAAAATAGGGTTACGTCCTTTCTGCAAATCTCTACCACTTCCACGGAGTCAATGCCAACTCATAGAGACTTGATTAGAGGATTTCCAAGGCTGTAAATCTTTACAGGGCAGAAAGCTTCATCTTTCTCCTGGTGACCATCCGTTGGGTTTGAACCATCAGCCTTGCAGTTAGCAGCCCAACACTTACCAGAGAGCCCCACCAGGGCTCCTCGCTTCTTCGAAAGTGAACAAAAACATTCTAAGGAGCCCAGGAAAGAAAAAGTCCACGCATTTTCTACCACCTGGAGATAACCACTGGTAGGGGGTGGGTGCCTAGCTGTCATGACTCCTCCGGAGAGACTGCCCCTGGCATTCCCTCTCGCAGTACACTCTGCCCCAGAGGGAAACCTGAATGCGGCTCCCTGCCCAGAAGTGGCACGCACGCACTCCTCTCCCCTTGCTCTGCTGTTCTTTTCTTAACTCCAAAGCACTTAGCATTCAGTGGAGGGCCTGGTGGCTAAACACGCCACTCAGCTGCCCCCCAAGAGATTGTCAGTTTGAACCCTCCAGCCACTCATGGGAGAAAACACCTCTCCCGTCAACATGTTGACCTGCTAGCATAGCTCACAAAAATACGTCTGTGATTAATGAAGTGAACAGGGTCTGGGATCTTTAAAGCTTTCAGGAGGCCATCTAAGACACAAGCAGGGTCTCTACTTGCCAAGAGCAAAATAAAGATAAGGAGGTAGCTAAAGATGCAGAGAAGAAACACGTCTATATGAGCCACAAACCGAGAGTCCACAAGAACTAGATGGGCCCAGCTTTCATCAGATTGTTCTGAGCAGGACCACAATAGACGGTCCCTGATCAAGTGCAAGGAAATTGCGGTGCAAAAGTAAAGGATATTACCCCAAAGACCAGTCCTCGACTTGAAAATATCTGGCCAACCATGAATCAGAAACAGAAAGGAGGAGATACATGAGCAGGGAAACGAGAGTACTGGGAACGGCGCACACAGAGCACAATGCAAGAGATTCTGGTAACACATCGTGATATGTACAAGGGTTACCCCTCAAAAACCACCAGAATTTTTTTTCAAAGCTATGTATTTAACTATGTTTACAAAACAACCTTATCGCCTTCAAAGTACTCTTCATTACACTTAATACGTTGGTCAAATCTGAGATTCCATTCTTGGAAACATTTTTCAAACTCATCTGTTTGGATGGCTGACAGCACCTCCCTTGGTTTTTTCTTCTATGTCCTCAAATCACTGTCCTTTCATGTCCCACTGCATTCACAGAAACAAAAAGAAGTTGCATGAAGCGAGGTCAGGTGAGTAAGGTGTGTGGGGCAAGATAGGCATGCTATGTTTTGCCAAAAACAGGCACACTGAGATGGCTGTGTGAGCAGGTGCATAGTCGTGGTGGCAAAACCAGTCCCCCCCTCTGCCACAAATCAGGCCTTTTTTGTCGCACACTGTTATGCAATCATTTCAGAACCTCTAAATAGAAAGTTTGATTAACATTGTCTGACCTAGAGGAATAAACTCCAAATATACTATCCCCCTCACATTAAAAAAAAACACACAAAAAACAAATGAGCCTTATCTTGATCTTTGATTTGACTTGATAAGTCTTGGGGGGGGAAGAGGTGATGATGGCATCTTCCACTGGCTTGAGTGATGTTTGGTTTGGGGGTTGTAAGAATAGCCCCATGTCTCCTCACCAGTAATGACCTTGAAAAAAGTCAAGGTCGCTTTGGAGCTGTTTCTTCAAAGCGTAGCATGTTTCCACTCGATGCTCTGTCTCCTGGCCAGTCGAACCCGAGGCACAGATCTCCCAGCCACTGTGCTCCTTTCCAACCGACCTCCAAGATAGTCCAGTTAACTCCCCATCTCTTCAGTGGTCCATTGTTGGTCTTCGAGCACAAGTGCACAACTTTTGTCGACATTTTCTTCCGTTTAGGAAGTTGACGGACTTCTAGAATGAGGTTTGTCATCCATCCACATTTCACCTATTTTGAAATGAGAAAACCACTCGTACACTTCAGTTTTTCCCACAGCGCTGTCTTTGTGAGCTGTGTTCACCATCATAACAGTTTCTGTGGCAGTTTTCCTGAGCAGGAAACAAAATTTCACAGCTGCATGCTGCTCTCTTAAATCGGCCATCACAGAAAATGGGGTTTGAGCAAACCTGCTTTCACGAAAAAATCCACTGTGACTACAGAGCACCTTCCCAGGTGATGCCACTGGGTGCACTGCTCAGAGAGTACACTAATTCCAGTTTTGGGGGGTAACTAATTTCACTGAATGTGGACATTGTTAATTAGGAACCTGACGTGCAGTGTAAACTTTCACTAAAACTCAATAAAATGCTATTTTTAGA